CACCAACCCAAGAGCGGAACAAAAAACCTTTTTGTCTTTCTTGATAGAGTATTCCAATGAATTAATAGATGACACTAACTGTGAACTCACTACAAAAGTTACATGCAATCCCAAGGTAAGAGTGCTGAGTTTGCAACTTTCCTTACCTTGCACAACTTCATATGAGGAAGAACTGTTACGGAGACTTGTTACACCAGATTTCAGAAGTCCGGACACTTGCTTTATATATTGGGTGCTCGCTTGCACATAAGCCAAGCTCTGACGTTTGAAAGATCCATTTGCAGGAATACGAGGTGTGACATGAATTCTTCGGAATGCCTTCCAGCCAGTATAGATTGATGACTGGAACCTGGAGAAACGATACTGAAACATTTCCAGTCTGGGTGACCTCAGAGCTAGGGCAGACATATTACAGCCAGTTGGAGGATCGAGAGTTGTTTTCACTTTGCGGACTGACAGAAAATTTCATGTCAATGATACTAGTCAACGCATTACCAGCAACTAAAAAATAAGAAGGTAAAACCAGGATATTATACCTTGCACCTTCAACTTTCCAAGGATTTTCCTCGGCTTTGGAGCAGCTCCTTCAACTGCAGGTTCACAGGAGCGCTTTGCCAACAATTCCTCCTCTGATTGCAACAGCACATTCTGCACACTGCATCCAGAGAATGGGGAAAGTGAAAAGGAAAATGAATCATGACATAACAAGTTGGGCAATGCTAGTCTAGAGCGAGCATAACATATTATCATGGCGAGAAGCAGCCCAACAAGCAACATGTGATAATCACAAAAGAGTTCTGTAGATAGGCCACTTAAATTTAGGTAAAATGAAGTAGTTCCCAACTAAAACACATTTTATTATCATAGTCTACAGGAACTTACGTCAAAGCATCATTCTGAAACCCAGAATCCTATAATCGGCATTGCCAGACTGAAGGACAGTCCTTTCTATGATTACGTCTCCACATCACATAATCCTATCCTAATGAGGACAATGATAATGTACAAAATATTTGAAGACCTTTTGTGGGCGAGATCAGAAAACAGAAAAGAAAAAGGGCGGAGGAGGAGAAGGGGAGGAACCATGGTACCCATCAAAAGATAACAAACCACCTTATAAGCAAAAGTGTGAAAACATGCTAGGTTCTGTATGCTGATCGGAATGATGCAAACGAAGAATCGTGCACATACCAAAATGTCTCACGAAGGAGAGCACACTCATTCTCCAAGAACATAGGAGCCTCCATGCAACCCCTAGCCCAAGCATGAAGGCAAAGCCGCACACATCCATCATATGCAATTACAGCATGCCATGGCCCTAGTGCACTGCACACAATTTACAATGCAATTAGAACATTTAAGGGAAGAAGTAGCTGACTTGCAGAATAATATGACTTCCATATACCTTGCATGAAAAGTCGGAACTCGAGCTGGGTTAGAACCAGAAGATATTGCTGGTTCACCACCGATTGTTCTGTGAATAGAGATAGACCTCAAGTTATACATCCCACTATCTCCAGGCACTTAAATATTGCCTCTGGTTAAATGGGAGTGTCTTATCTCATATGAAATATCGGTATCATGCACTTGAACCAAGTACAAACAGCAGTTAGTCATGAGCACGCATAAGAGCACTGTCACCTACCTTACAAACTGAACTGGATCCTTGCCTTCACTATTGTACTCATTCTTAGACTCTGCAGTCTGAGGGGTCTTATGTAGTTCCGATCCACTATCAATAACTTCTTTAATTTCTTGGCCCGATCCAGAAAATGGAGGTGCACTTGGTACATCACCATCAAAAGAACATTTCTTTGTCTGCACGTTCTTAGGATGAGCAACCTGCAATGTGATTGCTCTTCATAAGAAAAGAAATTCCACAAAACTGATAAGTGCTTTGATACAGAAACTGTAGGTCAAGCCAAACATGTCTTCATCCTCCGTTGAGCATTCATTTCTTGCTCAACTACAATTTCACTTTTAATAAACTTAGTTAACCTTAAAGCGAAAGAATTTCAGACGGGGTGAAGTGACAACATCGAGGCTGGCCTAAACATTTCATACATCCACTATCGGAATTCGGTATTATCAGCATCAAAAACTCGCTTCTTGGTTTATGAGCAATGTCAGCAATTAAGTAGATGAAGGAAGCATTCATAGAATTCCAAAGTTCCAAGTTCCTAGAAGAACTGACCTTTGCAGTAACACCCCCCACCTTGGCCTGAGAAGGCACAGTGGATGCATTTCCTTCAGAGAAGGGCAGCTTACTTCCAGGTATAGCACCGTTAAGACTTCCAGTTTGGGTAGTCGAGAACTCGGAGCTGGAAGCCGAATCAGACTCCTCATCATCCTCCTCCGTATACACACTCCTCCCACCACCAGAAACCCCACGAAAAGCACTGCTCACGGCCGACCTCCCACCTACATTCCCATTCCTCCCCGCTACGGTCTCCATGGACGAGCTAACATCAGAATAGCTGTAATCACTAGCGTAGCGGGCTCCCCTGGCGGCGGAAGTACTGGCATACCTAGAATTGGAGTTGGGGAATTTTTTATCGTCCTGTGGGGAGGAATCAAGTGAATAGCGCCCGCCACCGTAAACGTCATCATCATCGTCGGACTCAGTGTCGCCATTGTCGGAAACGGACCTACTGCCGTCGTCGTCATCTGCTGGGATAGCTCTGGAGACCGGGATTGCAGCGTTGGGGAGATGGCCGCTCCTGAACTTGGACGGCGGCGGGAGGCGGGAGGAATTGGTTCGGGAGATGGGGTCGATTCGCTGCCTCAGAACTGCTGAATGCGGCGGCATCGGAGAAGAAGCTTCTTTCTGGTTCTGCAGGTGGGGGAGGGAAGGAAAAAAAAAAACACGCACTGAGATGGGAATTTCCCATGGCATACGGAGAATCCCAAAAAAAAAAACAAAATTGGGGGAAATGGAATGGAAGGGAACATGCTCACATTGCGAACCCAGCGAAGGGAATTGCTGTCGAGGCCTTCAGTGAACATAACAATGGCGTTCACACTGCATCCACTCTACACCTAAAACCCCATGAGTGAGAAAATCAGAATCAGGCTTTCACGCACTCCATTCACAATAGAGAAGTTCGGTTCGAAGAACACGAAAACCGTTTGCAAGTAAATTAAACAGAGTGGAAATGGAAACAAATGGAGAAGAAAGCGAAGACTTCACTCACGCAAAGAGTCGTAGAGCAGAGCCCCGATGCGCGAGAAAGACAGAGAGAGGGAGAGAGGAGAAGAGGAAGAGGAGGGACTGGAAAATTGGGGGAAAAGAGGTTTTTTTGCGTAGGGGAGAAGGTTCCTGCTGCTACGTATTACTACTGTATCTTCTTCTTCTTCTTCTGCTTCTGGTGCGGGCGGGTGGGACTGAAAGGGAAAGTAATGCGAATTTTTTTCTTTTGCTGCTAGAATTGAGTAATTAATTAGGTAGGGTGGATTTAATTAGTATGGGGTTGGTCACTGACCTAATAAAGGAAGAGGAATATTTAAGTACGCTGACCAAGACCAACCATCAGTTTCACTTGACACGAATTAAAGGGGGCAAATAATATTTACTTACTAATGGATCGGTTTGTAATTAACTAATTAGTAATTAGGTAATTAGATTTGGTTTATGAATGCTGCAATTTTTTTGATTAAACCTAGGGCTGGCAACCGGTCGGTCTTGGTTTAACCGAAAACCGAATTAGGTAATTAGATTTGGTCTATGAATGCTGCAATTTTTTTATTAAACCTAGGGCTGGCAACTGGTCGGTTTCGGTTTAACCGAAACCTGACAAGAAGCCACCGACCGACCCCATAGCCCCGGTTAGCCACAAACCGACCGGGCGGTTTTTGGTTCAGGCGCGGTTTAACCAGGGCAACCAAAATAATGCTGGGCGGTTCGGTTCAACAGCTTAACCGGTCAAAACCGAGGTGGAAAAGAATCCATCTACGCCAACATCTCCAATTCCATCTCTCTACTTCTCCCCAAAATTCCCAATTTCAGTTCATCCCTCTACTTCTTCCCCAAATACCCAGCTTCAACTCTCTGCTTCTCCCAAAATTGCCAGGTCCCAACGAGACAATGCTTCTTCATCGCCGAAATCGCCGGCCGACCATAGCCAATTGGAGATTCGGCAACCGGGGAGAAGCATTCCTACCCTCCCTGCGTTCATCGGCAAGAACAGAGGAGGCGGCGGCAGCAGCTCGACCCGAGAGTGACAAATCGGGCGTCTCGGTCACTGACTGAACTCACACCGCGGCAAGGGTGATTGTAGATTTGGTGGATTCGAAGTGGCTTCATCAATCCAGTTCTCCGACTTTCCTCCTTCTTCGTCGGATTCGTGCAAAGAAGGAGAGCGAGAGAGCGGAGGAGAGAGCATAGACAAGGCAGATTCATCTTCTTCTCTGACCTACTTCCTTCTGGATTCCGTCGAGGTGGAGCCGGCGAGGTGGAACGGCGATGATGGTGGAGGGGGAAGGGATGGTGGAGGTCTGGAACGTCGACGGTGAAGGGGTGAAGGGGGAAGGGGAAGGGCTTGGCTGCGCGACAATGGTGAAGGGGGAAGGGGTCAGTCGATTTGGGATTAGGGTAATAGGGACCCTAGGACGGCGTCGTTTTTGGAAAGGGAAGGGGGTCGGTTAGCCGGTTAACCGCCGGTTTCCGACCTCGGTTAGTCGGCTAACCGGACCCATGATATTCCCCACCACCAACTGACCGCTGCCATTGGGATCGGTTTTTCGGCTAGCTGAAAACTGGTCGGTTCGGTTGAAACCGTTTGGTTAACTGCTAACCGGAAAACCGTCTGCCAGCCCTAATTATACCGAAGAATCATCCAATAATAAGGGGCACGTACGTAAATAGTGGACGAGGGGAAGCGGTGTATTTGGGTGTCGGACAGGACTGACTACGAATTTGTATGACATGACACGGTTAGAGCACGTGCATTAAATATACGGACTATGATAAGCCTAAATTTCATGAGCACAATTATTAAGTGCAATGTAGAATTTTTTAATTGACCAAATACGCTACACTTGTAAATAGAAACAAGCTCTCCGCCCAATAGCTTGGATCCTTTATTTTTCTCTTGGAAAATGGGTGCAAAGCATCGCTACAGCCTATAGGGTTCACGGTGTGTTAGCACTACTCTATCACATACCCAAAAAATCATTTTGTCCAGCTTCCGATAACCAACCGAAGTTCGGTTATTTTGGTTTAACCGGCCGGTTCACCGGTAACCGGTAACCGAACGGCCACCCCTACCCAAAAACTTTAACTTGAAAACTTCATCGTGCTTTTCCCTCCTTTTCACTTTCTTCCTACAGGTCAAAGCTGTGCAGACTCTTTATTTGCAGAATGACACAACTCTATCAGAACAATCGAATTGGATTTGATCATTCTTCTGTAAACTTGTTTCTCGGCTTCTTGGAGAGAACACACACCCAAACATCCAACTCATTAGGATAGGTTTCGACAGGGCTGCAAGTCGAAATGATAAACACTATGTTCAACGTGGATTTTCAGTGCCGAATGCTTCAGTGGCTAGCTCGCTCTCCTTTAGCCACAATGACCGGCATCCAATCTCCATCACCTGACTTCCCGAGGTCATTTCAGCGTTCTGAACACACACTCAACTGTCACAGGAATACGGCGCCCCATGCAAAGAACATCGGAGCGAGAAAAAAAGCAGAAGAACGAACAAGGGGAAACTGGAAACTCAATGCCAGTCACAGTATCCATATTCATTCACTATCCAAGGCAAATGAAAGAAGCTGAGATGGGAAAATGCTCCATTTTTCTCGGAATGCATGCACAAGTGTTCAAAACACAGCAGCTTATTCTGGTCACAACACATTCAGGACGACGAAGATGGCTATTTAAAGAAATGTTACTCAGCTGTAGTTTCGTCTTAGTACAACGCATCCACATTACACTCCCCCAGGTAAACTTTGATGCTGTGTGGCGATCCGCAGTGGCCTTCAGCAACCACCGCTCTGTCGTTTGCTGCCATGTGGGCTATGATCTTGTATATCATTTCGATCTGCAGCATACAAAAAAGGGGAACAAGTTCAGCCCAAAGAGCAATCCATACTCGGTTGCATGGGGAAATTGAAGGGAAGAACAGGTAGTAGTGTGAACCGAACATACATCCTCTGGGGCATGGCAGCGGTCAGCTACTTCCTCAAGCGTCAATGGCTCCACAGGATCTTTACAGCTGCACAAAACAAAACAAACAAGACTGCTGTCAGCGTTTAGTGATAAGTCAAAGTTGCCTAATTTGTACAGCAATCATAAGACTCTACCCTGCAGATGGAGCTTAAAAAATCGGTATTAGCAACAAAGAAGTGAATAACATGAGACGACATCTATTATCTTTCAGACGGTATGCATCCATGATTTGTCTTACCTTGCTTCGTTCAGAACTGCCAAAACCCGTTTCTGAAGAGCTAATACTTCTCCTGCTGCTTTTTTCCCAGCTTCCACGCCTGAGATTACAAGGAAATGGAATAAACGAGATACTTTGGACTACCCAATGCATGCATAGAACGGGCCTCGAGTGCTGAACCCTCTTTCATGAGATCCACACCAAAGCATAGCCCTTGAATGAAAAGAAGAACAGAGCTGTATACTATCATTTACCAGGTTGATGGTAGGCATTGATGTTGACAAGTGAGGCATACAATCCAACTGCTCGTTCATAGAGTGCAATAAGAGCCCCTACTGATCTGGGTGTGACCTCTTCAACTGTTACTGATACAGATTCCCGGTCATTAGCGTATAGAGCTGACCTAGTTCCCTGCAATAATTTCAAATCAATTTCACACAAATAATTATCAACTGCGCTTCCCAGATCCATAACCGTTCCTTGGGTAAATATTTGACCTGTAGCATTCCAAATAAATAGTCGCCACATGTAACCCCTGGTTCCAGTTCCCAGTCATGACCAGGGGGCCTATCACGCAGAACTTCAATGAAGGTTACGAAGAAATTGTGCACACCATCCCTCAGTTGTTGAATGTATCTGAATGAATGAAAATGCAAATGCATCAGAGCCATGTATATATGATCCTATCATATTTTATAGTCAAGCGCCGACAACTAATACCAGTAATAATAATGAGAAGAAAAGTTCAAACTTACGCATGCTGATCTGTACTCCCTTTATTTCCATACACTGTAAGACCTTGGTTCACCTGTGAAGAATCGGACAGTTAGACGCATGTAAACAATCAAATGCAACATGTTCATTATAACAAAAAGCATGCCCTAACATACAGAACATGGTTAAGTAGATAACATGATTTCACTTTACACAGCAAGCCCATTTTAACTACATCATGATTCTAATTGCATGTATTCATCTTCCGTTGCAATGCTTAACTTATGCAGTTCAGTTGAATGATTCGCCAGCCATAACCTGCCAAACCAGTGACTGAATTAATGACCTTTAAAGGTCCCATGTTGTCCAATCGTACAACCATGTAGTAGGATTTGTTTAATTCAAAATTCCCACATATAAACAAATCAAAGAATATATATTAAAAGCCACGCTCAAATCCTGGGAAAAACAACTAATAAAATTAACCTCTGAAATGCACAGTTTTATGTCATCAACCTGCCCCAACCTAAACATTGCATCCACAAGTCAAACTGAAAAGCAGTAGAATATCGGGAAAGTGCGATAAGGATCACTATGTCCATGGTTTCATACCCTATTACCATCAAGGTCAAACTCCTTCCCAATAGATTCCATGACCAACTGCTGCAGATATCGACTAAATAGCAGTAGACTGTCTTTGTATGGAAGGACAACCATGTCCTGCAGAAAGTCATTAATGTGAAGAAATTAAAGCCAGTTTGTGATTGGTCAATCAAATAATAAAGAAAATCCGGAGGGAGTTAGATTGTGCTTGAGAATAATACCTTGGATCCTACCCCATCCGAGGCCCAATACCAACATAAAGCTAGTAGAGCTGCTGGGTTATTCCTAAGCTGACAAGAAGAAATAATCGATGAGAGGCGTGATTCTACACATGAACCACACTGAAAATCAAATAAAGAACAACCTGCAAGGGATTTTGTCCCCGTACAGCCAGCCATGTGACCATAGTGATAATGAGTTTCATACTTTATAAGCTGGTATCTGATACTTACATCTCTGCTCCTAGTTGCCTCATCCATTAATGCTCCACCAGTAAGCATTTCCCTGATGTCAATCCCCTGGATGAAAGATAAACAAAAATTATTGTAACCAACGGTCATATTAAGGATAATGCCCATGTATTATGTACCTGAAGCGCTGCTGGGAGTAAGCCAACTGCAGACATTTCAGATGTCCGGCCACCAACCCAGTCAAACATAGGGAACCTAGCCAACCACCCTTCAATTCGAGCTGTATTATCTAGTAATGAATTTTCCTGTGTTATGGCAACACCCTGCACCACAATTTCACCCAGCAATATAACCAAAATGAACAGAGGAGAAAAATGCATATATATACGAGAATCAGAAGTACCTCTCCATGCAAGAATGCAAGCCTAAGATCCTAAGAATCATAACATGGATAAAAGGAAGTGATTCAAGACTCTAAATAAGCAGGTCATCAGACTGCATATGGTTCATTCTGAAGGGTACCAATTCACACGAGAGAGAGACAGAATCCGAATAGTAACGGTCTTTGCAAAACCATCACAAGCAGAAAGAAGAACTTGAGGTCGAAACCTGTTTAGCAAAATCAAGACCAGCTTCGCGGAAGGCCTTCTGTACTTCCAGCAGACCATTTCTAGTTTCAGGGGTGCCTCCACTCTGTAAAAGGAATGATCGAGACCTCGTTCAGTTAAATCAGCAGGCAGTGCACAAAGAACACGCCGAGAAAAGGACCAGAAGAGTCTGACCAATCAACAATGAGTGGATCCTACACCAACCTTAGAAGTCACTATCACAAGGGTAGAAGCCAATTCAGAGCCAAGCTGAGCAATCTGATGATCAATTCCAGCCGGATCCGTATTGTCAATAAACCTTATCTGCCATGATTGACAAAGAAAGAACCCAAATTCAACCAATGTTTCATTGTAATTACTAAAACCAGAGCAAAGTTCTACGAGAAAGAGCATCAAACTCCATTCAATAGGGGGGAATAACATTACTTTGAGAGGAGGGTTATCGGGAGCCAAAGCCTCCGCAACAAATTGTGGTCCAAGAGCAGAGCCCCCAATCCCCACAGCCATTATTTGAGTAAAACGGCCAGCCTCCGAAGCTGGAGGTTTAATCTGCAGTTTTTACAACGAAATGAAGGAATCACCATGCATTGAAACACATTCAGCAACAGAGGCAAAAAAGGAGAAACAGACAGAGAGAAACCACTCGTCGGTTGGTCCGCACAGCACAACTGACCTTACCGCTGACGATTTCATCAGCGAAGGAGCAAATGCGATCAAGCGTGCTCTCAATCTGCGTTTTCAAAAAGGGAGTGGGAGTGAGCTCCGAATTCCTCAGCCAATAATGACCGACCATCCTGCCTTCATCTGGATTAGCAATCGCGCCCTTCTCCAAATCCTCCATGGCATCAAACGACTGCTGAAAGCGAGGCTCCATCTCTCGGAAGAATTCATCGGTGAAACCAATCCTGCTGACATCCAAATAGAGCCCGAGCTCCTTGTGCTGATACAGCCAGTCAACGTACCTCCTCCACAGCGCCTGTGGATCTTTCTCGAGTCCTTTCTTCGGCTTCGCGGGGACGGACTTGGAAGAGTCGGCGGCGATCTCGCGGGCGACGGATTGGGCGGCGACGGCGAGGGGTTTGGTGGAGCGAGTGGGGAATGGGAGGGAAGTGGGGTTGAGGATGGTCTTGGGGAGAGAAGCGGCCGGCTTGGTGGGCTTGAGAGATGGCGAGGAGGAGCATAGGCTGGAGAGAGACGCCATTGGCGGCGGCGAGTGGAAAGGCGTTTTTTTTGTTTGTTTGTTTGTTCCTCCGGCGGAAGAGATGTTTACAAAGAAAAAAGAAACGGAAAGAGACAAGGATGGGAAGAGAATCAAAGTCACAGTCAGTCCGCCATGGCTACCTAACGAAGCCTGGCCCTGGCCGCGCTAGTGGAGGGGATATTCGTTGCCACTGGGCACAGGAAAAAAGTTGAAATGTGGGTTGATTTGGTTGGGGCTTTGGCGGTTGAATTTCGCGGATTCTAGAACCGGGTTACGGTTTGAGTTGAGTTCGATTGCTATCATACCGGTTAGGGGTGGCAAAAATGTATCGTGGCTGGGTTAGGGTATTTCCTCCAACTCAGAACCGTTCAAAGTGAGAAAAACATATTTTAATTAGATTCCTGCGGTTGTCTGGTAAAACCCGAAACGACAGAACTCGAGGATGGATAATGAACTAGGTGCAAACGTGCAGCCACCAACCAGTCAATATCCTCTATCTATTTCCGCAAAAAAGAATTACCTTAGTGAACATAATCACTCGAAAGAAAAAGGCTGTTTCTGGCACTTTTAGTGAACAAAAATCACTCAGAGCGCTGAATATCATAGCAATGGAGAAATGCAGCGACCAGTGACAACTAAAGTGATTACCAACGAAACTTTTGTTCTTTTGTTGCTCATTGTTCTATCATCAGTCATCGCCAACGAAACATCTCTCAATTTCTTTTCTTCTACTTTATAAATTACCTTTCCAACCTCAAAAGATACAAAACCTGAGAGCTACGAAGAACACTATTGTATGAGGGCTTCAGCAGGACATAGCTGTAATGAAATGGAAAGAGTGCCGCTTAGGTCTGCTATGCCAGTGCGCTTCGCTTAGCGACCGCGGCCATCCGGGATTCCAATGAGAACTACGGGTTTTGAGGGTCTGACGAAAGGAGCATCGCAGATGTAGTACCCCTTCCTCTCCAGCTGCAGTATTTCTCCATGCTTCAAATTTCGTATGTTTGAGTCCCCGAGAGCAGCAGTCTCCTTCTTCGTACATGGGTTGAGGACATCCATGAAGCTCTCATCTTCCTCCAGCTGCACTCAAAACAGATACAAAGCAAACAGCTCTCTCTTACTTGCCGTCATCAAGTATAGAACCAGACAGCTAATAAGGAATCTTTTACATAGAAGGTTAATAAGATATTCTTTCCAAAAATCAAAGAAGAAAGGAGACATTACCTTCTTCTTAGTGATCAGATGATCGTACTCCACCATTGACACCTTCACTAACTCATTTATCTTAGGCAGCCAAGTTAACTTCAACTTAGTGGTCTTTACCGAGCCTTCCAAATGTAAAACACCAAACAACTCTTTCACCGTTCCATCGTCATCCTTCACAATTTCCTGCACAATGGCATTCCCCCAGTCCATCAAGGTTACTTCTTCATTTACTGAGATGGACTGAGCATCAGCTTGGTCAATCCATATGCTCTTTGTGTATGTTGTGGCCTTTTCTCCGGCACCCTCATATTTCTTGTGCCTAGCTATGATGCGAACAAATGCTGCATCAGGACCATCACGCAGGGTCAGCAACACACACTTGTCTTCAATAACAGCAGTGTGCCTAGGACACACTGGATCCACTATCTTTTTGTTAATTGTCCAAAGCTTGTCCCACTCCATTAGATTAAGGTTTTTGGAAGCCCCCTAGCAATGAATGTGATCAAACAGATTAGAATGGATATCCCACAGACTAGAAAATGAAGCTCCACAGTCGAAAACAGATAAAAGTAAGAACTTTGAAGAGCAGCAGTAGCAAACTACGTATGACAGAGTTAACCAGGTTTTACCTGTTCGAGAATAAATTGCACTAATGCCTCAATTTTGAGCCCCCTGCGAACAATACCTTGAACAGTCGGAAACCTGGGATCATCCCAACCATCAACTTTTCCATTCTCAACAAACCAACGAAGATTACGTTTGCTCAACAATGTATACACCATGTTCAACCGGCTGAACTCAAAAATGTGAACCTTCCTTAGCCCCATATCCTGTTGAATCCTGTGGTACTGACTGTTTCTGTCATGGTACTCGCTTGATCTGAGTGCATGAGTAATACCTTCTTCGGCATCAACGAACGGACAAGCGAAATCATATGTTGGATACAACTTGTATCGGGACCCAATTCTATGGTGAGGAACAGGATTGCATCGATAGTACACTGGATCACGCAGAGATTTGTTCGGATCTTGCATGTCCAATTTCCCACGGAGGCAGCACTGCTGTCCACGTTCGGATGCCTCAATCATTTCCTTCCACAGTTCCATATTCTCTTCCACGCTATGGCTCCGGCATTTTGATTCGATGCCTTCCCCCCTTTCCTTTTGCATTTGTTCACGTGGTGTGTCATCAACATAAGCTTTCCCTTCTCTGATCAACTTCTCGGCCATCTCCATCAGCACAGGAAAGTAGTCCGAAGTATGTGTGACCTTCTCATATTTGATACCAAGAGTCTGTATATCTTTCAAGAGATTGTCCACAAACTCACTGCTTTCTTTGGAAGGATTGGTGTCATCAAAACGAATGATGAGAACACCATTGTACCTCTGGGCAAAATACTGGTTCAAGAGAGCCGCTTTAGAGTGCCCAATATGAAGAAAGCCACTGGGTTCTGGTGCAAACCGCAATTTCACCTTTCCAATTTCAGCCTCCGGAAGGTCGACTTCAGCTGAAGGCCTGCTGCTGCTTCCTTTCCCCTTTTCCATGATGTCTCCCCCATTAACAGCAGCCTGTTGGTCCTTTGGTTTTACAGCCACAGGCTTTCCTGAGCCTTTTTTCCCTACATATGCTGAAGTTACTTCATCCAAAACTCCATACTCTGCAGATATAGAGTTGAACCAACGGACTAGATTTTGGTATTTTTTTGACTTTCTTAAACTTTCCCACCTCGGCCCAGTAGCTGCATGTAAAAAAAAATGTAGTGACTGAGTCAACCATACCAAGGAACCACATAGAAACGACTAGGCAGCACAATGATGCTAATCCCGATCTAAACAAGAAAAGTAACCTCCCATTGCAGCATGCACTCATCTAAAGCAAACCTGACTTTTAGTTCTCATATCCAATAACTAGGAACCACACAGAAACACCTAAGCAGCACAATGATGTCAATCCAGTAACAAGAAAGCAACCTCCCATTGCAGCATGCACTCATCCAGACTGAATCTTACATCTAGTTCTCATATCCATTAACTAAGAACCACATAGAAACACCTAAGCAGTACAATGATGCCAATCTAGACTTAAACAAGAAAGCAACTTACAATTGCAGCATGCACTCATCCAAACCAAACCTAACATCTAGTTCTCAAATGCAATAACTAGGCTTGTTTTTACCAACTCATCTGGTCCTATGACATTATTAAACACTTGAAGACCAGAGCAAAAAAATGTGCTTCGTTTACATGGATATCACAATCAATCTTGAGAAAAACTTCGATTTTTCGAGATACTTGCAAGACCCAAACTAATGCACAATCGAGAAGATGGACAGACACACCTAGACCAGAACGCATTGGAGGTTACCTGCTAAACCTGACCAGACTACCATGTCAGCAATGGTAAAAAACTCTCCTACCAAAACGGTTCTCTTCGACAGATAAGAGTCCACAAACTTGCATGCGTTCTCGAACTCAGATCCTGATGACAGTATAGGGGCATATTCCAGCCACTCATCGACCTGTGAGTTCATGGGGAAAAAGTAGCAACAGGAGAGCAATTCAGGTGAACGGAAAGAAAACGCAAAATAGAGAGAGAGAAAAAAACTCGGATCTTTCAGGGAGAAAAAACTAACCTTGCTGGATTCATAAGGGCCCTGGCCGTAGAAATTCGGCATGCTGCTGGGGACTCGGCCGATATACCGAATGAGTACATTCGTGCCGTGCAATTCCAGCCTAGAACGAGCAAAGCAACCAGATGAAAAGTGAGCAAGTCTGGGAAAAAACAAACAGAAGAGAGAAAGAGAAGGAGCATTACCCATTGGAGAAGACAAAGGTCGGCGTGGAAGCAGGTTTCCCAGACTCGGCTGGGAGACTGAAACCTGAAACCCTAGCAGCTGCAATCACTGCCAAGGGGACGGAACCCGCTGGAAAAGAGAATTCCTTCAGCTCCATTGGCGGCGGCATCAGAAACCGGTGAGGAAAATCGCTACCCTACACAAACAATCCAAAGTGAATGAATAATTCCTAGCATCTAAACATGGAGACCAAAAGTGGCCCTCTGATGAGGGGTACAGTCTGCAGCCAGCATTCTAAACTGAGGATATGTGTCTGTTTATAAGCACCAAAACGTGCTTGCTAGCTACCTAGGGTACGTATATATGACCACACTAGCTATACAGCCAACAACAAAACGTTAGAAATTAAGTTCATTAAGTCATGACAACAGCCGCGGAGATCACAGAAAGAAAGGATTCGAGATCATGTAGTTGTACAGTGCCTGCTCTGGAGTATGCAATCAGACCAAGTTCTCAATTAACTCTAGAGTATCAGGAATAACTTCCAGAAGTATAATGCGAATTAGAGATCAATCAACAAACAAATGAATCGTCAGTCGTCACATATATCTATCTACATACCAAGAACCAAATTCAGCAAAGGGAGGGCGAGACAGGGAGGCAAAGAGAGGCAGAGCTGGCCTCGCGTTGGGTGGATTTTTCGTCGAGCTTGACTGCTCGAGTGAGCTGGAGCGGACAGACGACCGTCGCCCTCTGCTGGCGACCGGGAGGGAGAACTGGGAGAGCGGCCACCGATTGCTGAGGAGTGACAACGCCGGCGACCTGGAGAGCGGCCGCCAATTGCTCCGGTCGATTGGATATTGGTCGAATCGCTCGGTGGATTAGGGTTTGGTCGAAGCGGCTGGGTGGACAGGGAATTCGAGGAGAACGACGGGAAGGAGAAGGTAAGAAGTAAGAACAGAGCGCGGAGTTAAGCTTGGGTCGGGGATGTAGTTGGTTTGTTTTCCTTTTCCTCGAGGACACGGAAAAGAGGCCCAAAAAAGACCCAGCCACAGTTAATTTCTGGGTTTTCCTTTTCCAAATAGTCTTTGAATCTGGGTTAACATTGACTGACCTGCAAATAAACCAAACCGTAATAGGTGGGTGAATAATGTGGGTGAATTGTAGATCGATAAATCTTCTACCAGTACTTATTGAATGGGTGGTCAGTGGATTGAGGGTGACCCGAATGACATACATGTCATTTTCACATCTTATTTATGTTAACGAATAATTATCATATTTCTTAAATGCCTATACATAGACCATCGACTTGTAAAGGTGACTGATAAATAATATTTTTGATACTATTATTGGTTCCTATGTTGTGTAATGTCTATTAGAATTTGAGATGCAAATTATAAACTATTAATTATATATAATTCACAAAAGAAAAAATCAACTTTCTCTACGCATTTGGTTATTGGAGTAATGTAATATTTTATCTACACTTCTAATAATACATTTTAAAGGGTTTGGTTTGCTCTATTTCAAATTTCCTGCGACGATAGTGAAAGTATGAAGGGTATTTTTGTCTTCACAATTATTTATTTACTTCATATAAAAAAGATATCAACACTGGGATTTGAACCATGGTCTTTTAAGACAAAGACAAGAATCATAACCTTTTTTTTTTTTTTTTGACAACATCATTAGTTCATTAAAATAACAAACCAATGGAAGGTTACAGATAAAGGGCCAGCCCAATGAAGGTTCAACAAAGAAAAAAATAGAGTTACAGCCCAACACAAAAAGCCCAAGGGCCACAAACCAACCCAGCAGAGGACAGAAACCCTAAAAATTCCCTTCATCCCACCGCACATACATCGCGCCGCTGTCGAGAAAAGGGGAAGATGGCATCTCCTCCGGCACCAGATCCAAACAGCCGATCGGAAAAGAGAAAACCTTGCTGAATCTTGGAAGGGGAGACGTCAAGAGCGAACATCAAGAAGGATGAAGCCCCCACAAGGACACAAACTCGAGCAGGAGGATCCAAGCAGCAAACCCAGAACACGAAATCAGCCTCCAAAGTACGAACGATAACCCTGCTCTCAGAAAACAAGGAAGAGAGTTCAAAGTCACAGAATGGACCAAAGCTCCACCGAATCACCACACCATTCGGGCAAAGCAAGGAGGAGGAAGCTCATAATCCTTGAAGAAAGAAAGCAAATCAAAGAGAAAACTCCTTAGCTCATTCTGAAACCACACCCAAATCACATATCTGTAAACAAACAGATAAGATCTGGCAAAAGAAACCATCTACAAGAGAGGTTTCTGTATCCTTGAGTTATGCAGACTTGAAACTAAACTGCAAATTTCTTTTAAGAATGAATTTCTTCATGTATCTAAAATAGTCTGATGCTCCTAAAATCAAATTGTTTCTACAAGTCTAGAAATCCACCAATTCATTTATCAGATATGACAGTGAAATCAAGCTTCGAGAGATCTTATTGTTTGAAATCTCAATGTAAATATTTTCGGGTTTCAATTTGTAAGATTCATGTTAATTCCAAGATTGAAAGGTTTGGTCTTTCAATGCTATTGAGATTCAACTGGAAGAAATGAAGAGCTCATGTATGCCATTAATGAGTATCATTTTGCCATTTTATTATGAGTTTAATTTTATGAGATTACTATACATGATAGTTAGTATTTTTACATTTTTTACTATTGTGAGTGGGGTACTAAGGTTATTTTGACTTGATTTTAGAATGACGAGACTTAATCATAGTTTAATAAGCGAGGTAAGAGCCACTTTAATGGCAATTAACAAAAAAATATATATATAACCAGTGGTTTGGTTAAAAAACACTCTACTATTACTTCTCTAATTTTGGTACTTAATTTAGTTGCATAAATTTCTCTAGAGTTGTCTGAGACCGACTACAATATTTAAATGTGCTCAACTCAATTCCTACTTCCATCCACTACTACTCCGCTGAGAAAGAGTCTCTCCAATTACTACAACAATTAGAATTTTTTATTTAAAGGATTAACAACAATGACATGTGGATTTTCAAAAAAAAAAAGACATGTGGATGGAAGACCCATTTTTTATGCCTATAAGACCCAATTTTAATCTAATCTGTCATTGATATTCACATGTTTATCTTTTTGCTAATATTTAGTCAAATGCATACTTCATCTAATGCAGAGTTGTCAAAATATGGAATAACACTTGACATATTCAGCCAACGCTATTTGATGCATAACATATTCAACCAGTGCATAGTTGTATTATAAATTTGGAGCGACAAAAATAAATTATGACATAGTAATTAATTTTGCGGAAAAGTGACGGAGATACACTACCTTTATTAACAAGAGTCAAAGCTAAACTCGACCATCAATCCACCCAAATATTGATAGAGATAAATAAATTGAAAATAAAGGTTTGAGAAGTGGTAAAACTCAGTTTCATTAATATTTAATAGCTAACGATATCTCTAATATTTAGAGCAATGTATATCCATCCAAAATTGTCAAAATAAGGAATTTTGTTGCAGTTTCGGTACATAACCTTCTTTGTTCCACTCGGCAACTCTAATTAAAGCACGAATCCAAGCATTGCAGCTAAGAGTTTTTTCAATCTCTCACAAAATTTTTACGAACTATTTCCTTTTTCTAATATGATTAATCGAAATCTATCAACGATTTTTTTTTTACAAATGTTATGAGGAGTATTTTGTGTGAATTTAAAACAAAATAAAAAAACAACATCCGCTAGGTAACATTATCTTACTCTTTCATTATTATTTACTTCAAATTCATTCGAGAAAAGAACATCATACCCACTAAAATATATGGTTTTGGACTAAATATTGTACCTCATTGCTATCAGTTTATAAATTCAGGTTCCAATTCCGAGAGGTATGTGGACAGTTGGAAATATTGAATTTGTGCTTAGTGTGTAGTGTACTTAGTGATGGGGATAAAAATGATTTGAGAAAAAGAAAGTTTTTGATGATGGAGATATAAATTTCAATAATAGAGAGAAAGAGTGAATATAAATTATAATGTTAATGACTTGGATAAGATAAATTTTAATAATAGAAAATTATGTTAATTTGAATTTTTTACTTTTCAATACATAAATAATTTGAAATCTTTTCTAATACCAAATAAAATGTTCTTTTCATCAAGTAATAGTTATTATTATTATAAAATTAATAAAATGTATCCGTTCAACGGGTCGGACTCAAAACTAGTATAAGTACTATACGTCTCTACAGGAGGCAAAATGAAAAGGTATTTAAATTGATATAGTTTTACTAATTTGCAATGAATTTATTACCATGTTAGTAAACTTGCCTAATTGTTAGGGGAAAATTGCTTTGAGGGTTAAACCACAACCCAACGTCATCGATAAGTTACCGACCCGACCCAACCCAACCCGAAGAAGAGTATGGGTGGATTGGGATCACAATTTTTATCAACTCATTAGTAAACGGGTAGGTCAGTTTGAGACCAAAATCCACCCAACCCACTCATTGTCCACCCCTATTTATAGGTATGATATGCCCATATCATGATTTTTATCAAGTATGTTCATCTACTATTTTTTACAACAAACATATTCATGTACTTTATAAAAATTATCGAACAATTTATTCTGTTAAAATTTTCATCTAAAAATAGTTATCCACGGTCGAGCCTTTATTTAAACGACCTGGCCTCGACAAAATGGGAGAAAAAATGTCAGTTTTGCCCCTTCTTTTATTTCTCCAAGTCTAGTTAAAGTGAATGTATTATGGATATTGAGCGAAAAAAGATACAAAATATTTTAAAGTGAAATGATTAGAGTAATTTGGACAATTACAGTATTATCTTTAACACAAGTACACTATTATCTTAACAAAATCCCTATTGCTACTCCTATTAGGAGAATCAAAGGAAAAGTTGTTAAAGAGTTTGTTTTAATAACCCAATATTGTGTTTGTATGATATATATCAACTAAATTGGTTTATGTTTCAGCCGCAAAACAGGTAGGATGCCAGATCTATGAAAGGGCGGGGACGGCCCCCGGTATCTACACTCCGACGATCAACATTAGTATTGTGATAGAAAGTAGGAAGAACTAGATAGAAAGAGATATTGTAGAGAGATAAATGATATGTCAAAATGAGTGGAAGAGAAGGAGAGATCCCTTACTTTGAAGACCTAATAGCATATTTATAGGTGAAGCCTTGTCACACTTCTTGGGCTTCTATTGGGCTTTGTGGTGTTTTGTGAGGATGGGCCCATACGCGCTTGTGGATCATCGTTGTTGTTCGAGTCGGGCTCTGTCACATTTACGGCTCCAACAATTGTCCCCCAGTTAGGTATTCAGTAGTACACTGGATGCCTAACTAATAGCCTTCAAGTTGTCACATCTTTTGTATCTTGCTTCTGGTGTATGACGTGCATGCACCTCTTTGTACTATGGTTAGGTGACTCATGTCCCCCAACGTCGTCCTGATTGAACAACTTACAAAAATACTATGCCAAGACTGAGCGACAGAACATATGTGACTCATAACATGGTTAGAGATGTAAATCAAGTAGTGACAAAAATCACTCATTGCATTCCTCATGTTTAACAAGGTTACGACATTTTAGGCGCCTAACTGAAAATTTGTTTGTATTAGACATACTTTTGAAGATGCATGTTGTCCCTCCAATTGTTCCCCAGTTAGGAGTCCAGTGACATACTGGACTGCTAACTGAAAGCCTTCTAAGTCATCAAAATTTTCATAAAGTCACTTGTATTTCGTTTCTTTGTTCTTGTCCCCCATTACCACATTAATTACTCAAAGAAAGGATCACAAATATATTAAGTGATGCAGTAAAAATTGACTCATACCATAACTTGGAATATAACTCGAGTGATGATAGAAAACACTTAACTTATTCCTTGAGATTTCTCTTTGGAGGTTAGCATTGTAGTGTCCAGACAATAAGTCACTGGCTCCCCCATTCGCCGGTCATGTCGCCTTAGACGCAACAAGAACCTCCCCCTCTTAGTGAGCCGTTGGAGGCTTAGTCTCCTATAGACTAAGTGGATCTTAATTCCATTTTCGATTTGGTATGAAAATGCTAGCACTCCTTTCCTAGTCAGATGGTGGTAGCAATGCGCCTTTGCCCTTGTGGTAGATGTTTCAGTCACACATATCACATTATTCGACCATAAACTGGAGCCACTCCACAGGTGCTATTGGGCCCTGATGATTGCGAGGCTAGCAACCGTGCACCTACCCCGACATCGTCTTATTTTCCTGTTGTCTCGTGGCTCTCCACCCCGTAAGCGGAAAGCTATTCCCTTCCAGTGATTTATAGTAAACTCTTTTCTCTTCAACTCTTATTCTTGATT